TGGGGGGGAGAAAAAAACCCTGTAGTCTACAAAGGTAATGATGGCTAAAAAGAAAAACACCAAGGTTTGAGGGATGCAGAGAAACACGTGAAGATCTGTATGAATTGATGCAGGTAAAAAAAAAACAAATCCAAGAGAACAACACGTGTGATAACTATAACAATGCCCATGAAAAGTTCACTAGAAGGAAGCTGAACTTGGGGCAAATGATAAAGTAAGTAAAGCTTTGGGAAAAAGATAATGAAACCCAGCTCTCCCCTTACTGCAGAGACACAGGAGACTACATACATCGGTACATGTGGTTCCTTTCAAATGCTTTTGCTTAAGTGTTTTTCTTTGTCTCAAGGGATAGCTCAGTCTGGAGAGGGAACTGAAATGACTATGATGTCAGGACAGAAAACATCAATAATTGTTTCTTTTTGAAAAAGAAAGTGGCTACTGCTAGGACCGTTGGCACAGACCCATGGGTCTTTCTTTCCCTTGTTTGCTTCGGGGGTTGGACTGCAATAAGGAGGAGAAACAGGGAGCAGCATCTCATTTGCACATTAATCTGCATGATTTGAAATTAAAATGAAAGGGTGGCTGAACATCCTTTTTTCCTTCCTGCTTTTTGATAATTATACTTTTCGTTATACTTCAAAGAGCTCCCTTGGCAAGAGCCAATGCATACCTTTCAGGCAGTTCAAGCTCGGTAACAAGGAAAGGGGGATGGGGACAGCAACTGTAAATGACTAAGCCTTGCAGGAGGAGGAAGAGGCAAGATGGCAGGCTGTCCCCAGAAGGGTTAGGAGCCACACAGAGAGAGGCCAGCTTTAGAAACAAAGGCCACGTGTGCCCAAGGTCATTTTAACTACTAGTTCCAGGGCAGACCATTTCAGTTCTTTAAAATTCCCCACAACCAGGTAGCACTGTTGGCCAATACCCACATCCACAAGGGGGATGGAGTGACGCCTGTCTCCTGGTCACCCGGGTGGTGATATGCATTGGAGAAGAGGTTCTGCAGAAGCGTTAAAATCCCTTTTTCTCAACCCTTTTATCCCCCAAACTCCAGTCCGTGACACAGCAGTCACTTACAATCTCTGGCGATCACTGTTGTGGATTACCTGATCAGAATTAACCCTGATACTGAATACTCTCTTCTCTGAATTTGCAATGTCGTACTTGTTACATTTCAGAGAACCCTCTATTTCATGTGACCTTCATATAATCAGGTCACTCCCACCAGGGAACAGAGAGAACATGCTTAAATACTCTACACAATGTTTACTCTTAGCATAGAAACAATAAAAGCCATGAACAACTAAAATCCTACCTTCTGCAGGAAGGCTTTCCCGACTTCTCTTAATTCCAGTGCCTTCCCCCGTTTAATTATTTCCTATTTTTCCTGTATAGCATTTGCTTTGTATATATTTATTATAATTATAATATTGTGCTATAATATTATAATTGTTATAATAAATATTAAAATATGTTGTATATATATTTTTTGCATGTTGTCTCTCCCATTAGATTGTAACCTCCTTGAGAGCAGGGACTGTCTTTTGCCTCTTTTTGTAACCCCAGCCCCCAGCACAGTACCTGGCACACAGTGGGCACTTCATACCCCTCCCAGGAACACTGCCTTGTTATGGTAGAGGGGTCTGTGCAGCCCAATGAAACTGTGAGTTATGCAGCTATGTGCAGGGTTACCCAAGACAGACAGGTCACAGTGGGGAGTTCTGACAAAAGGTGATCCGCTGAAGAAGGAAGTGGCAGACCGCTCCAGTGTCTTTGCCAAGAAAATATCATGGATGGTATTAAAATTCCAAAAGATATGACCTTGGAAGGATGAGCCCCTCGAGTTGGAAGGGCCCATTGTGTTATGGTCCATGGGGTCATAAAGAGTTGGATACTGAACAACAACAACAAGGCACTTAATAAATGTTTATTGATTGACCAATACATAATCAAACACAAATGAATGAGGCATTTCTTTTTTTTTCAATTTAAAGACAATTTTCTTTTTTTTTTTTTTTATGCAATTGGGGTTAAATGCCCTGTCCAGGGTCACACAGCTAGTAAGTGTTAAATGTTTGGTCTGAGGCCAGATTTTTAACTCAGGTCCTCCTGACTTCAGGGCTGGTGCTCCATCCACCGCGCCACCTAGCTGCCCCAAATGAGGCATTTCTTAAGCACTTACTACATGCAAAGCACTGGGCGAAGGGCTGGGGATAGAAACAGAAAAGTCTGGGGGCAGCTAGGTGGCCCAGTGGATAGAGCTCCAGCCTTGGAGTCAGGAGGACCTGAGTAGACCCTTGACACTTACTAGCTCTGTGACCCTGGGCAAGTCACTTAACCCCAATTGCCAAAGCGGGGGTGGGGGGGGAGGAAGGAAAAAAAAATATGGTAATCCTTGCTTTCATGAAGCTTACATTGTAATGGGGAAGACAATACACATGGAAGGTTTCAGTTGTAAATCAGATGGACAGGCCCATGATTCTTATGGTACAACAGCAAAGCAGATAGTTTCATGTCATTTCCACTGATAAAGTAACGTAAGTTGCTGATTTTGAGCCATTTGATACTGCCAAGAATTTTGGAGGCAAGAACGTTCTTAATGTCTTTAGTAACTGTGGCTGTAGACCAGGAAGGAGCTGCCAGGCTGCATCTCTGCAGGAGCTGCTTCCCAGGATGATGGCTACGGGCCATGGGCTAGAAGCATGGCTATTCCCAAGGCTCTTGGGCTCAAGTTCCCGAGCTGTCTCCACTAGGATCTCAGGGAAATGGAGGTCAAGAGAGTGGCGATGGTTTGACATGCCTGGTACACGTTGCTTCCCGTCCCTCCCTCCAAAGGCCTCTGCCCCAGCCAGGCTGGTTTTCCTGCCCTGCATGTGGCAGTTGGTTGGCAGCTGATGGGGGTGACTGGTCCCTTTTCCACAAGGGACTGTCCGAAAAGAGGACCAGTGGCCAGAGGAGTGCCTTTCTGTGCCTACTTGCTAGTTGGTGACAGTTGGTCAGCTGCTGTTGCTAATGTGATAAGAAATGTAGGCCTCCTCTCTAGAATGATTTCTACCCTCAATGATGGCTATGGGGGCTGGGCTGGAAGTAGTTATGTTGGGGGTACTGCTATTCCCAAGACTCTGGGGCTCAGGGTTCTTGGCCGCTCCCATCAGGTATGGTACATCCCATCTGTCCTTTCTCACCAGTAGCAAAGCTTGGCCTTTCCCTTCTCCTCCTCCTCCTACCCCATAGCTTGGGGGGTTTGGGTGGAGAAAAGTCAAGGGGTGAGAGATTTACATCACTTAATAGTATTTGGCAAGGCTCAGACTAAAACCTAAGGCTCCCTACAGTCTCTAGGATGAAACAGAAACTCCTCTGTTTGATATTTAAATCTTGTCACAACCAGGACCTTCTGGGTTTTCTTCAAAACCCAGTTCACTTTCTACATGAAGCCTTTCCTGATTCCCCCCTCCCTAACCCCAACCCCAGCTGCTAAGTATCTCCTTTTCATTTTGCTAATATTATGCATATTTTTATATGTTTTTTTAGTTTTCTCCTCCATTAGAATGTAAGCTCTTTGAGGGCAGGGACTGTTTCACTTTTGCCAGGACTTAGCACAACCTGGCATACTGTAAGAACTCCATAAAAGAAATGTATGGTAGATTCTGATGAGGGGAGGGTTCTTTCCTGGTTCTCCTCCTACTGGTGGGGCCACTCTTTCTGCATTTCCTTTGCTGACTCATCATCCATATTATGTCCCCCAATTGTGGATGTTCCTCAAAGCTCTGTGCTATACTCCCTCTTCTCCCCTCTCTTCTCCCTATACTCTTTCTTGGTGAACTCTTTAGCTCCCATGGATTTAATTATTATCTCTACACAGCCGACTCCAAAATCGATATATCCAGCCCCAGTGTCTTTCCTGAGCTTCAGATCTGAATCACCCACTGCCTGGTTGACATTTCAAAGTGGATGTCCTGGAGACATCTCAAACTCAACATTTCCAAACATGAATTCATTATCTTTCTCACGAAGTGCCACCTTCCTAATCTCGGGTCCTTGAACTTATTTTTTTAAAAAGTGTTTCTAATAACTGTAGTTCAATGTAATTTATTTCCTTTTTAATCCTATGTATTTTATTTTATGAATTTAAAAAATGGTTCTAAGAAGGGGTCTATAGGTTTCACTAGATTGTCAAAGGAATTTGAAGCACAAAAAGGGTTAAGGACCCCTGTTCAACATGAAACGTTTTCTGATCCCTTCAATTGCTAATGCCCTCTTTTCCAAACCACCTCCTATTTAATGATGACTTTGTATTTATTCTCCTTGTCTTTAAACTACATATATGCAAATATGCTTATTACTGTCTTCTCCATTAGAATGCAAGCTTCTTAAACCTGGGAAGACTTATATGAACAAAAGTGAAGTGAACAGAACCAGGAGAATATTATACACAGGAACAGCAACAGTGTAATGATGAACACTGGTGAAAGACTTAGCTACTCTGATCAAGACAATGATCTTAAGACAATTCTGAAGAACTCATGATGAATAATGCTGTCTACCTCCAGAGACAGAACTGATAAACTCTGAGCACAAACAGAAGCATAATTTCTTTTCCACTTTATTTTTCTTGCTTTTTTCCCCCTACAAGCATGGCTGATACGGAAATATGTTTTGCATGATTTCACATGTAAATTGATATAATTTTTCGCCTTCTCAGTGAATGGGGGAGGGGAGAAAGGAGGGAGGGAATTTACAACTCAAAATTTAAAAATCAGAATGTTGAAAATAGGTATATAAATTGAATTTTTAAAAAATGTAAGTTTCTTGTCAGAAGGGATAGTTTCATTTTTTGTATTTGTATCCCCATACTTAGCACGTGTTAATAATAGCTGGCATCTATATGGCTCTTTAAGATTTGCAACGGGCTTTACATATATTATCTCATTTCCTCCTTACAACAACCCTGGGAGTTAAATGCTATTATTATCCACATTTTACAGATGCAGAAAAATAAAACCGAGACATTAAAATGATTTGCACCCAGGTTGAAAGGGCTAGCAAATGTCTGAGGCAGTACTGGATCTATGGGCTTAATGACTCCAAATCCACATGGGCCACAGCATCACCTGGTAGGTATACAGAAAGTGTTTAATAAATGTTTGCTGATGGGTGGATGGACAGAAAAGAAAGAGGGCCAGAGTGTAGGGAGAAAAGCCAAAGTCAAGGGCAAGGGACAGCTGATAGTGTGGATGCAGAAAGGGGATATTTGAAGACCTGAAGGCAAATGGCATTTCTTTTGCAATTTTACCAAGTGCCAGCCCTGATTTTGCTTAGGTTATTTAACTTTCTGCATTTCAGGGAACCCTGTCCTCTAGGGTTCTCCCAGGTTATAGTGTTTCTAGTATGAAAGATAAAAGATTAACTAGGTCTCTGTTTCCAGGCTCTCTGAGCATGGCTTTTGCTCATAGCTGAACAAATAAAAACTCACCTAATTTGGAATCCACCCAGGTCAGGCAGAGACAAAGCATCCTCATTACTTCCTCTCCAGCGTGGCCCAGCACAGGAGCTAAAGGTGAGTTACAAGCTAGATGACTGGGGTTAATGATTACCAGTCTTGGAATGACTGCATCATTCACTGGAGAGGGTTCCTGGCAAACCTGTGATTCCTTCTTCACCCACTGAAGGTCAGTAGTACTCCTCAGAGGAGGGCAAGAGGCTGGGGGAAATGAGTTCTAACTTCCTCTGGAGGGATGGTCAAATATTTAGACAATCAATTCTACCTGGCCCAAGTTATAGACATAGCAGGGCATCTTTCCAATGTTATTCCCAGAATGCACAGTACCTTAATAAATGTTTATTGATTGATTGATAGTATAATCCTTTCTTCCAGGCGAGTTTAGATAATTATTAATTATCCAATTATCTATGAGATTAGCAGGTAGTATATGTGTATGTGTGTATACACACACATACATATTATATATGCACATACATTTAACATATGGTGTGTCATATGTAATATAGACACATATATGTACATGTATAATATATTATGTATAATATAAAATATGTCTATTATCAATTACCTACTAATGTATTAGTATATTATTGTATTTATATCATTTATTTATATATTATTATATTTATATTATTCTATTGTATTGTATTAAATTATTATATTAACTAATATAATAATAGATACTCAACAGTAGGTACAATTTTGGGGGGCTTCCAAATGCATTATTATACACCATTTGGAATGAGATGTGAGGTTGGAGGGGGACAGAAAAGGGGAATGACAGATTGATCTTCCTAATTGTGGTTTAGTGGATAGTAGAAAGCGTAGTGGAAAGAGTCAAGAAGACTTGGTTTTAGTCTTGGGTCTATCAGAGGTGGCTCAATGGTTAGAGCACCGGCTCCAGAGTCAGAAAGACCTGAGTACAAATTTGACCTCAGACACTTACTAGCTTTGTGATTCTGGGCAAGTCACTTCACCCTGTTTGTCTCAGTTTCCTCAACTGTAAAATGGGGATAATAATAGTATCTTCCTCCCAGGGCTGGTGTGAGGATCAAAGGACATTTTATTTGTAAAGTGTAAGCACAGTGCTTGCTGCCACATAGTAGGAGCTATTCCTATTGTTCCTATTTTTAGAGGGATGATCAATAATCATGTATTATGCACCTACTATATTCACTGTACTTAGAAGTAAAAGGGAGCTTATATTCTGTTGAGAAGACACATATATTTTTGATAATTTGGTAATTTTGATAATTGAGAATTGTCTGAATTGATCTGTGTGCCTATATATACATGTGTTCTATATGTGTGCAGATACATATATACATGTGTGTTCTATATGTGCACATACATGTATCCACAAAGCATATATGCATTATGTGGGTATTCTGTATATATACGTACACATATGTATACAATAACAACAGTAGGTAACATTTATATGGCACCTACTGTGTGCTAGGCTCCGTGCTAAGTGTTTTATGAAGTGCTCTGTCCACTGCACCACCCAGCTGCCCCTATACCCACACAAGACACATCCAAAGCAAACCCAAGAGCTAGGCTTGGACGAGACTCTAGTGGGTAGAGTTGAGCAGAGGTGAAATCTCAAGAAAGGGAACACTGAATGGATCACAGAATTATGCGATGTCAGAGCTCAGAGACCTAAGAGACAGATCATCTAGTCTGACCCCCTTATGTTACAGATGAAAAAACCAGATTCAGACAGATGAAGCTAGGGTTGCAGATTCATTTCCACCTGAGGCTTCCCCTCCCCCCACCCCTCCCCCCAATCTTAATGTTTTGCAAAACACTCTCCCAGCCTATTAGATGTTTATATAAGTTCCCTGAAGACAAAGACTGTTTTTGTTTTGTCTTTGCATAGCCAGAGCCTAGTGTCTCACACAAAGCAACGTTTGTTGAATTGAATTATATAATTTCATACTGAGAAAGGGACCTTAGAACTTCACCGAACCAATAGCTAATGAATATGTTTTAGGCAAATCTAACTCAACAATAGGAGGCCAGAGGCCAGCAGACCTCCAGGGGTTCACAGACCTTGACACCTTCAGGAAGCCTAAAGCAAGTAGCTGAAAGGTAAGTCAGAATAGGTTAGCCTGGGGCCCAGAGAGGTAAAAAAGTGAAATGCCTTCTTTACCCAGGTTACCAAGGGCTAGGGTAGGACATCCAGAAGTCTGAAGACTAGGAGAAGAGGTGGAAGTGAGCAACCTTGGAAAGTCTGTGCAGTGTCTGTATCTGCAAAACGGGAATAATGATGCCTTCCCTCCCTCCCTTCTAATGTTCAGAACAACGGAGGCAATAGTGCTCTCGCTTCATATTTACGGAGGCAGCTAGGTGGCTCAGCAGATAGAGCACCGGGCCTAGAGTCAGGAAGACCCGAATGCAGATCTGACCTCAGATACTTACTAGCTATGTGACACTGGGCAAGTCACTTCTTAATCCAGTGGAGAAGGAAATGGCAAACCACTCCAGTATCTTTGCCAAGCAAACCCCATGGATGGTATTGCGGTACTACGTCCCAAGGGTCATGAAGAATTAGACATGACCAACATCATTATATTTACTGGCCAGGCCATACTTTGAGTATCATGCTTCGCTCTGAGAATCACATTTTAAAAGGAACAATAGTTGGAAAAGGGTGATGATGAAAGTGGTGCAAATCGTGTTACATATTTCGTTTCCTCAAGAAAATACTATAGAAATATAAGTGATCAGGACGGCATGTTTTTGTTGTCCAGTGGTGGGGTCAGAAGAGGGGGCATAAGAAGGAAGAAAGCATGAGGAAGTAAGGATTTGAGCATAGAAAAAATAAATAATGGTACTAAATGCTGAGCGTGCAAAATAATATATTAACCTGGAGACTTTCAAAGTTTAGATAAGACTCTTCTCTGCCCTCATGGACTTTGTAGCCTAGAACTATGGTTGATTGGGGGTGGGGCTGGAGTGGGGAGACAGAGAGGTAAAATCAGACAGCTGTAACAACTGTCAACAATTGTTCCTTATCCTCCTCTCAGGATATAGGTCTGTTTTTTTTTTAAAAGGCCGTTCTTTGACTCATTTTTTAAAGTCTTAATCATTGAATGGCCACTGCCTCAGTCAAACTGAGACCTGTTAAAGATCTTAGCTTGAAAAAGCCAACGTCCCCCACTGCATCCTGGGCCATCTCCAGTGTTTTTGATTCCTATCTGGCTACTGGACCCAGATGGCTCTGGAGGAGAAAGTGAGGCTAGTGACTTTGCACAGCCCTTCCTCACTTAAATCCAAAATGGCATCACTTTCCTGATGTCATGGTATTCTTCGAGAGCAAATGGCAAACAGCAAAGAAAGTGCCAATAGCTAGCTTCCTTTGATCCTGGTTAGTGAACTTTGTTTGTACTGGTGGGAAGACATCTGGGCTTGTTGGTGACAGAACATGGCCATGCAGTTATGGAGAGATTTAGAGCCAGAAGAAACCTAAGAGAATACCTACACGCACAAATTGTTTCTCTGATAGAAGGTAAGCTCTTTGAGGGCAGGGCCTAATTCATTTTCATCTTTGTGTCTGTACTGCCTACACACTGTAGGTGACATAAAAATTCTCCCAAGGATTCATTTATAGGTACTGTTGCAGATTATACTTATCAACACACAAAAACATTCTAATAACTGGTTTGTTATTTGGAAAATGGACCCACAATATATAAAAAGCAGGGTCCAGAGCAGTAGTTTTAGCAAAGTTATACAGATTTTTGTTTCATAGGTGGAATGGAAAGAATTTTACTGAGGGGAGAAGGGAGAGCTAAAGATTTACACATCAAAGAACAGATAGTGGAAGGGGGAAGATCCATATCAGATAAAATTACCCACTGGTTTGTAAGCAATAGGAGTCAAACTAACCATTAACTGTGAGAGCTATGCCTAGGTACTTAACATGCTCAGTCATAAGTAAATAGAGGTAATGAAGCTGAGCCAGAAATCTCTTATTACTAACCAATTAATCAGCTGAGCTAAAGTTTTGAGTGTCAGCTAAATTCTGCAGGCTCCAGCTAGTTTATCTGACTACTTTTTTTTTAACTTACTACTTCTTAAGGAAATGGCAATAAACTTTGTACAGAAAAAAGTCTCCTATGAAATAGGTGGTTAATAAATGTTTACTGTTTGATTTAATCTAACTCCTTCATTTTACAGAAGGGCATCTGGAGACCCAGAGTGTTTAAATGATTTGTCTAGTATCACACAGGTAGTAGTAAGTAGCACAGCTGGGATTTCAGTCCAAAGCCATTGCTCTTTCCTCAATTGTATGGATCAATTTTTCTTTCAGAAGGAGTAGGAGTAGGATACTGGAGAATGAATGAAAATGCATTTATTAAGCGATTACTCAATGCCAAGCTGGTGCCTGCAGTCAGGAAGAATTGAGTTCAAATCCAGTTTCAGATACTTACTTGTTGTGTGAGCCTGAGCAAGTCACTTAACCTTATTTGCCTCATTTTCCTCATCTGTAAAATGAGTTAGAGAAGGAAATGGCAAACAATGCCAGTGTCTTTGCAAAGAAAACCCCAAATGGGGTCACTAAGAGTCTGAAACAACTAATCAACAGCAACGCCAAGCACTGTGGCAAGCACTTTGGACCATGCAGGGTTTTTTTTTGTTGTTGTTTTTTGGTGAGGCAATTGAGTTTAAGTGACTTGCCCAGAGTCACAGAGCTAGTGAGTGTTATATGTCTGAGGCCAGATTTGAACCCAGGTCCTCCTGACTCCAGGGCCAGTGCTCTATCCACTACACCACCTAGCTGCCCTGTGATAAGCACTTTGGGATGCAAATACAAAAAAGCAAGACAATCCCTGACCTCAAGGAGTTTACATTCTAATATGGGACTGGACTGGGATGGCTCAGTGGATAAAACGCTGGGCCCGGAGTCAGGAAGACCTGAGTTCAAAGCTGGCCTCAGACATCTACTAGCTGTGCAATGCTGAGCAAGTCACTTAACCCTGTTAGCCTTTATCCACTGGGGTTCAAGAAAATGGCAAACCACTCCAGTATCTTTGCCATACTTCCCCATGGATAGTATGATTGGGGTTATGAAGAGTCGGACAGGACTGAACAACAAAAACAGGACAAAGCAGAGTGCCACAAGGAAATAGATTGACAGCAACTCTGGAGTTAAGATTCCAGAACTGGTGGGGTTGAAGAAGCAGTGGAAGAGATATCAATAAAGTTAGGATTGAAGAGATGCATAGATGGGGATTTTCCTGAAGCAGCCTCTGAGGGCGGCAGCATTAGTCACCAGTATATAAAAATATTACCAACAACAAATTTAATAGAATTCAACAAATATTTATTAATTGTCTAATATGTGCAGGGTACCATACTAAGTGCTGGGAATTTAAGGTTAAGGTTAAATGATATAATTCCTGCCTTCAAGGAACTTACATTATAGTACAGGATACTACATGGGCAAAGTGAACACATGGTGTCTACAAGTAATTTCAGGAGTGCTAACAAGAATTAGAAAAGGTCTTGTATAGGAGTAGGTGTTTCAATGATTTGAAGGCAGCTAGGGATTGTAAGAGTCAGAAATAAAACCATTTACCTACATAATTACAAAGGTGTTAATTATTTTGTTAAACAAATTTTTCCTTTATTACAATATCAATAGTTTTGCTGTTATGGTTTCAGTTGAGAAATTATTCTTCCATTTGGTTGTGTAATTAATTATTCATATTATTATAAAATTTATAATTTTAGAAACTGCTAAAAGTCCTGCAAACAACAACAAAACTTACTGCCATACCAACACAAAAACACAGAGTAGTGACCACTTTGTTGGGGAGATTGGACACGGATTCAAGGCGGACCAGAATTCTATTAGGTAACCTTGAAGGTCCTTTTCAACTCAATATAGAAAAATTCAATAAATAAATGTTATTTACATAGTCTTTTACCTGCACAATTTCATTTAATAATAACCAAAGTCCTGTGAGGTCAGAAGTACAGATATTTCCTTCATTTTACAGATAAAGTAACAGTGCTTAGCGAGGTTAAGTGATTTGTCTAAGGTCACAAACCTACTAAGGGGGCATAGTCTTCTGACTCTAAGCCTGAAAATTGGAAAATTCAATTTTCTACTTACCCCACACTAGGTTCCTAAGGCGCGAATAGAAAATAAGTATTAAGTTGACTCTGTGTAGTTTGGGACTTCTGTGTTTTACACTTTCTTTGTAACCCAAGGTCACACAGGTAACAAGGGGCAGAGCCTGGATTTCCTAGCGTGGGCATACTAGCACAGGCTTGGGTAGCACTCGATAATCGCAACAATGCATGAGTACCAAATGCATCTTTGTTCATTGATTGCAGTGGAGATGACAGAGGAGGGCAGGCTCAGGCTAAGAAAGAGCAGGTTATTTAAGTGAAGCATTCCCAGACCAGAATGATCATCGTGCGCGGAGTAAAGCTCTGTATTTCTCAACCAGCTGAGAAATACAGAGCTCTCTCCTGCCTACAGCGGAAACCGGCCGTTTTAAAACCACAGGGCCCCTAGCGAAACGGCAGACTGAATGAAGCTGCCCAATCGCATTCCCTGGGAAGACCACGTGCTCAGGTTGCAAGCACTCAGGTGCTCAGGTCCACGTAATTCCTGCGGAATTTTGCCGAAGGAAAACTCGGAGCAAGATGGCTCCCCTTAAGCTATAACTGATTGTCTTTATTGTTGTTGTTATTATTCTGAAGGTTTTGAAAACTCTCATCCCTTTCTTGAATTCTTTTGCTTTAAAATGCAAAATTGCATGAATGAACTAAAAAACCATCCCGATTCCTCCCCTGCCCGCCGCCCCCCCCCTCCACTTCTTCTAAAGTCCTCGGGAAAGGTTCCAACCCAGGCAGCTCCACCCAACTGCAGGAAGGAATCCCGAGCTAATTGGGAAATGGGGATTCCCCCTCCCCCAAGTCCAGCCCAATCCAGTCTAAACTGGCAACTTCCTGGGTTTCCCTTTTACTCACCACCCCATAATGTTGACTTACTTGCATCTAATGTCAATACACTTGTTAAATATACGTTTATCTTGACTGTGCTTGCATGACATCTGTATGGCCCTACACAATAGTATTGTCTGTCTCATAAGATTTACACCTGTGTGGTGCAGTGGAAAAGACCCCTGGAAAAAACCTGGGTTCGAACACAATCTCTGCCACTACCTGTGTGATCTAGGCAAATCGCCTAAAAACCCTGATTCAGTTTCATTCTCTGCAAAATGAAGTGGTTGTACCAGTTGACCTCTGAGATCCCTGCTAACTGCTATAGGAGAGGTTCTTAACTTGGGGTCCTTCAACATTTGAAAAATATTTTAACAACTTGCAATAAAATTGGTTTTCTTTGTAAGCCTGTGTATTTTATTTTATGCATTTAAAACCAGACTGCAAAAGACTTCCATGAAGGAAACGAATATTTATTAAGCACCTATGTGCCAAGCGCTTACAAATATCTTATTTGATCTTCACAAGGAAACATTTTTTCCTCTTAATACTATTTTATTTTTTCCAATTACATGTAAAGATTGTTTTTAACATTCACTTTCATAAGATTTTGAGTTCCAATTTTTCTTTCTTCCTCCTACGCTTTCCTCCCCCCTCCCCAAGACGGCATGCGATCTGATATAGTCTACACATCTACAATCTTATTAAACATATTTCCACATTAGTCATGTTGTGAAAGAAGAATCAGAACAAAAGGGAAAAACCACGAGAAAGAAAAAAAGAGAAAATAGTATGCTTCGATCTGCATTCAGACTCCATTGTCTTTTCTCTGGGTATGGATAGCATTTTCAGTCATGAGTCTTTTGGAATTGTCTTAGATGCTTGCATTATTGAAAAGAGTCAAGTCTATCAAACTTGCGCATCTCACAATGCTGCTGTTACTATTTACAATGTCGGGAAACGTTTATTAAACGCATATTATGTGCCAAACATTTTGCTATTATTATGCCCATTTTATAGTTAAAGAAACTGAGATTAAGTGACTTACCCAGCATCCCACAGCTAGTTATTAAGGTAGGATTTAAACTTAAGCCTTCCTGACTCCAGGTCCATTGCTCTTTCTACCGCACCACCCAGCTGCCACACACACACACACACACACACACACACACACACACACACACACACACACACACACACACACACAAGATAAGAAACACCCCTCCCCACACACACTCCCATCATAGAATTGAGATCCGGAAATGACTTTACAAATCATTTTACATTTGCATAGAGTTCTTTCAAATGATCTGTTTGATTTCTCGGCAGCCTTGGGAAGCTGGTAGAACAGGTATCATCCCCATTTGACAAATCAGCGAACTAAACCTCAGACCAGTGACGAAACCTGCCCAAAGACCTGTAGCAAATTAGTGGCCGGGCTAGGCCTGAAAAACCTGGTCTTGAGCTTCATGGTCCGGCTGTCTTGCCACTGAATCGCCCTCTTCTGGAATACAAACTCTGCCTTAGGTCCCAGAATTTCGGAATTGGAAGCCGTTTCAGCATCCCTCAAACTCCAACCATCCCTGAGAAAGAAACCCCACGACCACATGCCCGGGCACGTGATGAGCTGGCTTTTGCGTTGCAGACCCTTCAAAGAGAAATATTCTAAATCCCTTGGAACCAAACCATTCTGTTCTTTGGGCAGCTCTATGAAGATTATCCCGACTTCAAACCTCAACTTCCCTCTTTGTAACTTCGGCTGATAGTCTTCCTTCTGGGTCTAAGCAAAGCCCTCTTCCACATTACTGCCTTTCAAATGCCTGAAGCTCCTGATCATGTCCCTCCCTGTTTTCCAATCTCCAGTCTGGGCGAGGCTAGTTCTGATCTTCCTAGTGCTGTGGAGGAGAGGCAATCAGGATTTATTAGAGCACCTACTGTGTGCCAGGTACTGTGCTGAGCACTTTACAAATATGACTTCACTTGATCCTCATTAAGACCCTGGGAGGTAGGTGTGTTATTATCCCCATTTGAGGAAACATATAACATGGTCTCAAGACATTCCTTCCACCATCTTGATTGCTCTCTGGACATTTTTCAGCTTATCTAATAATAATAACAATATGAATAACTAGCATTTATATAGTACTTTACATGTTAAATAAAAATTTACATGTTATATAGTATTTTACAATTTCATTTCAGTTGATCCTCACAACCACTCTTTGAGGTAGGTACTATTATTATCCCCACTTTAGAGCTGAAATTAAATTACTTGCCCAGGGTCATACCAGTTAGTAAGTGTCTAAGATAAGATCTGAATTTAGGTCTTCCTGACTCCAGGCCCAGTGCTCTATATCCACTGTGCCACCAGCTGCCCTTAATGCCCTTCCTAGAATGTGGTGCTTGGAACCTAATGCAGTTCTTCTTGATGGGATAGAGTACAATGGGACTGTCCCTTTATTCTGAGGAGCTGTCCCATTCTTAAAGAAGCCCAAGATCACACCAGCTTTTTTTGCCCACTGTATCACACAATATGCTTTTTATTGAGTTTGAAGTACATCCAATTACTTGACTTTTCACTAGAAAATTATTGTGAATGATAATTTTAGGGAGAGCAAAAAAGTTTTGGGTACTGTTAAAATAATTTAAAAATATTGTTGACTTCCACTTTTCATACTTTTAAATTTCTTTTTTGTGATACTTTATAATATATATAATATGTAAGCCCAGTAATATGTACATGTGATTTATAAACAAATAAAGGTACATATATTGTGGGTGTGCTCAAACTTTTTTTTTAACTGATAAAGGTGCATGATCAAAAAGTTTGGAGACCCCTGTATAGAAAATGGTTAATCATTGGAGGTTTCTGAATAGGGGGATATTGTGGTTAAGGAACCAAGCATCTCAGGTCTAATCTGCTAATTACAGGTAATTGCCTCTCCTAGTGTTTCAATACAAAAATAGAACTTTGTTTTTCTTTTTTGACCTGCATTCAGTGTTTTCCTAGAGATTTAATGAAATGTGTTACCTACATCCTGACAGAGAGGAAATGATGGACTCAGAGCATAGAATGATACATAGTATTATTATTGAGGGGGGTATGGCCAATGCTAGAATTTGTTTTGCTTGACTATGTATTTTTGTCACAGAGGCTTGGGGCTTTTTATTATAAGTGGTACATATCCATAAGACAGGGCTAATGATATCCCATATTTGTTCTGTGCCAAAAACAGAGTAATTGATAAATTATTGAGTCTCCTTAAAAAAAAAATCATGCTTCAAAAGGTAAAGGAAGTTATTCTGATCCTAATTCTCCCCAACAAGGAGGAAGTAGTTAGTGAAGTAGAAATGATAGAAACTTTAGGAAGAAGAGATTACTCTACCTTAGAATTCTTAAAGAGAAGGAAAGGGTGCCTAGTCTGATGCATCCTTTGGGTCAGGGAGCATTGGGTTTCAAAGGGTTTGGAGAAAGTTAAGCAGGAGGTTCCATGACTCAAGATTCTATGGGGAAAGTCAGCTCAAGAGGATATGTTCTCAGAATGAAATTCTGAAGAGATACCACAAAGGATTCTAATGAGAAAGGAAAGTAAGAGGGGATATTGGGAAATATCTGATTTTTTTTAAAAGGCCAAATAATCCAACCATTCTGGAGAGCAATTTTGAACGATGCCCACAGAACTATAAAACTGTGCATACCCTTTAATCCAGCAATACCATTGCTGGGTCTATATCCCTAAGATATTTTTTTTTAAAGAAGGGGGAAGGACCTTCTTTTGTACAAAAGTATTTATAGTGGCTCTTTTTTGTGGTGCCTGAGAACTGGAAATCAAAGTGATGCCCATCATTTGGAGAATGTCGTAACAAGCTGTGATTTATGATTGTGATGGAATATTGAATATTGAATATTTCAGTATTCAAGCCAGATGATTTCAGAAAAACCTGAAAAGACTTACATCAACTAATGCAAAGTGAAGTGAGGAGAATCAGGAGAACATTGTACATAATAACAGCTGTACTATATAATGAAGAGTTGTGAATGACTTAGCCGTTCTCAACAATATGATGATCCAAGACTATCCTAAAGGACTCATGATGAGACATGCTATCTGCCTCCAGAGGAAGAATTGATAGTCTGAACACAGACTGAAGCACACTATTTTTTTTTGTTTTTATTTTCTTCCACAAAATGGCTAATATGGAAATATGTTTTATGTGATTGCACCTATGTCAGATTGCTTACCATCTTAAAGAGGGGGAAGTAGAAAGGGAAGGACAGGGAGGGATAGAATTTAGGACTCAAAACTTTTTTTTTAATGTTAAAAATTGCCTTAGCATGTAATTGAGGGGGGGAATAACATACTATTTTTTTAAAAGGCCATCAATATGCAAAATGAAATTAGCAGAACCAGGAAAGGAAAACATTGCATACAGCGTCAGTAATGTTGTGTGATGATCAACTATGAATGACTCAGCTCTTCTCAGCAGTACAATGATCCAAAAGAAGTACAAAGGACTCATGAAGGAAAATGCTCTCCACATGCAGATAAAGAACTGATGGATTCTGAATGCAGATCGAAGCATATTTTTTCACTTTTTTCTTTTTGTGGTTTTTTATTCCTTTTTATATGTTCCTTCTTTCACAACTGTGACTAATTTGGACATATGTTTTTTACATGATAGCACAGGTTTAACCTATATCAAATTGCCTACCATTTTCAGAAGAGGGAAAGGGAGGAAGGGAGGGAGAAGAATTTGGGACTCAAAAGCTTGTAAAAATGAATACTAAAAATTGTCTTGATAATTCTCACAAAAATAAAATACCATTAGAAAAAATATTTTTAAAAAAGTATTTTTTTTAAAAAAAGGTATTATTTAAACTGGAAAAAAAGCCACCAATAAAACTTTTTTTTAAAGAAGGAAAAGGGGGAAATAGGTCAGCTTTGTGGTCATGGTACTATGATAATGAATGATAGAAAGAAAGCTAAACTATTCAACTTTTGCTTTTGGGATATGTGTGTGTGTGTGTGTATATACACACATGTACACATATGTGAGTCAGAATGAACTTTGAACTGGAAAAGACAGCAAAAAAGTGGTTAATGATGATCAGTCAGGGGATTATTTTTTTTAAAAGTGTGAAGTCCACCAAATTGCCATGCCCAGAGAAACTGTATTCCAGGTTACTACAAGAAGTGGCAGATGCGATTGCTGAACCAATCAATGATCTTTGAAAAAACATGGAGAATGGAAGAGGATCCACAAAACTGAAAACAGAACAAATATTGTTCCAATGTTCAAAAAAGAGAGAAGGGAGGCATCTGCAACTTATAGGCCAAGGAGTTTGACTTCAATTCCTAGCAATATTTTAAAACATATTATTAAAGGGATAGCTGTGGACATCAATGAAGGGAAGCAGTTATCAGAAAGACCCACCATGACTTCATCCGAAACAAGTCATGCTGAACTAAACTAATTTTCCTTTCTTGATAGGGTTCCTACACTGATAAATCAATGGAATGCTGTCGATATGGTTACCTAGATTTCAGGAAAGCTTTTGATAGTTTCTCATGATACCTTTAGATGGAGAAGTGAGGGCTAAAGGAGAATATACCTAGGTGTGTTTGGAAAAGTTCTTTGGAACTGGATAGTTCTGAAGCGTAGTTGTTAATACCTTGTCATTTTGATATAAGGTAGCTAGGACCCCAAGGGTCTATTCTTGGTTGAGAAATCAACCAGCTTTCATAGTCTACAGGGAGTGCCAGCTGATTCTCAATCAACCAATCATCACGAGGCAGATATCTCTGAAACCCAGTAAGTACAGGACCAATGGGTATGCTTACCTTTCATGGGGAGATGTTGCTTAAATGCCTCCAAACACAGATCCTTGAGAAACTCATCAAATCGATCTAAGAAATCTTGATCTAGGTCTCTTACAATGAAATTTAATAGGCATTAATGTCACCTCCTGTACCAAGTTAAAAAAATCAACTTCTAAAATACAAGATGGAGAAGATGGGACTAGGCAGCAGTTCATCTGAGAATAATCTGGGGGTTTTTTCTGCACTGCAGACTCAATGTGATTCAACAGATTGGTATTGTGATTTAAAAGACTGATGTAACATAGCATATGATGTTGTGATTTTCTCTGAAGAAGTTCGGAGGCTTCTTTATTCAGGTTTTGTTTTGGGGAGGCAGGAGCGAACCAAAATGATTATCTCCCCCCCCCTTTTTTGTAAGCCTCCCCAGAAGGGACGAGTTCTGCTCAGAGTCTCAAGGTGTGTACCAGGAGTTCAAGCTAGGTTTTCAGCTCCAGTCTTCCTAATTCTCAGATCAATGGTTTCTCCTAAACTACACAGTTTACTAATACTCCTCTCCCTCTCCCTCCTCTTCCTCTAACCC